ACCCACACTCGGGGCTACACATTAAATCAAGCACTAAATAGTTCTTTCTACCCTCAAGCAACCTCTTCTTGCCACGTCCGAACAATTCGAACACATCTCGCAATCAAATCATACTCATCACGAAGCCATCCAGTCATCACTTCCCTTAATGGGGACACTATCGAACATATACATCCAGATACACGTGCTCACACAATCAGCACCTCCGTGCTCAAACTGCAGGCAAAACCCGGCCTCAAGTCCTCTAGACTGGCCCAACCTCAACGCACAGAAAATTACATCTCGCCCCTCGATCAGGGAATCACAAGCCATCGATGCACATCTGATACTGAGCGCTCATGTTCGCATACGAACACGTGGAAGGAATTCAAAGAGTTACATATCAAGCTGAATCAAGGACGCACGATAAGAATTTCAAGAATGTGAAGCTTTTCCTAAAGGTTTTGCAGCCTCTCGAGGATAAATACAGATGTTACCATACCGATCCGCGAGAGTCTACTAAACCTGCTCATGACTCGTGAAACCTATGTAACTTAGGCTCTGATACCAACTTGTCACGACCCTAAACCGGGACCCGGTCAGCCGACACTTCCCATTTTCCAATTATAACAATTTAGCATTTAGAAAAAGTCTAAACATGAATAGATAATCAAAAATAGCAAATAATATCATAAATACGCAGAAGAACAACCCAACATAGCCCTAACCGGGGTGTCACTAGTCATGAACATCTATAAGTCATAATACAAATCCGCTAAGTCAATAAACTAGTACAACTGTCTGAAAAGAGATAGATGTGATAAAGGAGTAAAGACACGGGGCTGCGAATGCCAACAGCTACCTCGTGAACTCCAAATGTCTGCCTGAAGCTGGAGGGATCAGCACTCGAGAGAGGAACCAGCTACGGCTGAATCTGCACAATGGGTGCAGAGAGTAAAGTGAGTACTCCAACTTAGTGACTAACAAATGTAAATAACAACTGAAAGTAAGAAAACACTTAAGGCACACGACATTCTATAATGAAGTAGTAAAACAATTAAAATAGTAAACCAGTGAAAGATAGATAAAAATTCTTTAACTCAAACGTAGTTTCATGAAAAGCCCTTTTTCAATAAATAAGCAGGTAATTGACAGTTGATTATGAAAAATAAACACATAGAGGTTCTCCCCTCGGGCACAGTATCAAAAAATCCGCCCCTCGGGCAATCACATAGAACAATACTAGCCCTTTAGGCTCAATCTTACATCACAATGGGTACCCGTGCTCACTGGGGGTGTGCAGACTCCTGGAGGGCCCCCTTACGGCCCAAGCGCAATATCAAGCCATCTCGTGGCATCATCACTAGGCTCTCGGCCTCATATCAATAAAGCTACCTTGTGGCGTAGATATCTCAGGCACTTGGCCTCAAATCAATATCAGTGTTTCCTCACAACATATGCCCTCGGCCTTACTCAGTCAAAAATCCTCACAAGCCACTCGGACAATAGTAAAACAAGTGTTTCTCAGCCCAAACATCATTTAAAATATCATTTAAGTAATAAAACTGAGTAAACATGGCTGAGTATGAAAACAATGGGAAAATAGCATGACTGAGTTCAAATATAAAGTCAAACAGTGAGGAAATATCAGTAAAAAGTCCTGAAGGGTTCAAACAGTTGGCACGAAACCCAAATATGGCATTCAGCCCAAATAATGATGATATCAAATAGATTTCAGTCAAATACACTGTAAAATCATCAATCGGGACGGACCAAGTCACAATCCCCAACAGTGCACAACCCCACGCTTGTCACCAAGCATGTGCCTTACCTCAATATAGCACTACGATGTGCAATCCGGAGTTTCAAACCCTCAAAACATCATTTACAGTCATTACTCACCTTGAACCGGTCAAGTCTCTAGCTCGCGATGCCTTTGCCCCTCGAATCGTCCTCCATTCGCGTCGCATCTATCCAAAATCAGAACAAGGACATCAAAATATGCTAAGGGAATGAAGTCCAAGAGAAAATAATCAATAAACGACACAAATCCCGAAACTACCAAAACCCGACCCCCAGGCCCACGTCTCGAAATTCAATAATTTTACATCAATAAATTCTTTATCTCCCCACGAGTTCATACATATCAAAAGTTCTCAAATCCGACCCCAAATGGTCCTTCAAATCCCCAATTAAAGGTCTAAGTTTCCAAGCCGTAGTTTCCCCAATTTTCACCCTTAATTTCCATGATTTTTAGCTCTAATCCATGTAATAATAGCATAGGAACGAGTTTTAGGTCCAGATTCCTTACCTCAATGAAGTTCCCTTGAAATAGCTCTTTCAAATCGCCCAAAAAGCTCTCAAACCGAAGTAAGAAATGGTGAAATAGCTCAAATTCGTGAAATGAAATAACTTATATGTTCTGCCCTGTTATTCCGCATCTGCGGCACAATAGCCGCTTCTGCAGTACCGCATATGTGGTCTTTCATCCGCTTCTGCGGATATCACTTAATGGGCCAAATCCGCATCTGCGACCATATTTCCGCATCTGCGACATCGCATATGCGGTCACCTTACAGCTTCTGCGGTCTCAGCTCACCGAACCATTTTTCGCTTCTGCGACCAACTCTTCACTTATGCGGCACCACACCTGTGGTTCCCAATCCGCAGGTGCAAAAATACCAGAAGCAGCAAATTTAGCTACTGCAACAAAATTCCAACTTCTCCGTTAACCATCCGAAATCACCCCGAGACCCCCGGGACCTCAACCGAAAGCACAAACATAACCCAATACCTTATTCAAACTTGTTCCAATCACCAAAACACCTCAAACAACATTAAATTACCCAAAACACATCGGATTCAAGCCAAACTTTCTAAAATCTTCCGAATTCCGCTTTTGATAAAAAACCCAACCAAACCGCGTTCAAATGACCTGAAATTTTGTACACTCATCCCAAATGACATAAAAAAGTTACTGAAACTCTCATCCATTCCGACCCCTATATCAAAATCTCTCCTACCAACCGGAAATCGCCAAAATATCAAGTTCGCCAATTCAAGCCTAAATCTACTACAAACCTCCGAAACTCATTCCGATCACGCTCCTAAGTCATAAATCCCCTTCCAAAGATAACCGAACCATCGAAACTCATATCCGAGCCCTCTAACATATAAGTCAACATCCGGTTGACTTTTCCAACTTAAGCATCCTCAAAAGAGACTAAGTGTCTCAAACCTTACCAAATTCATTCCGGATTCGATCCGACTAATCCAATACCATATAACACGGATAAACAAAGTGTAAAGAAGTAGAAATAGGGAAAACAGAGCAGTAACTCATGAGACAACTGGCCGGGTCATCACAAAAAGAAGAGAATTAGTATGTTGCTTCCCTTGCCGGGATATTGTTGCTTTTGATATTATCTCCCTTGCCGGGAATTTGTTGTCTTTTGATGTTATTCCCTTGCCAGGACTTGATTGTTGAACTATTGTTCCCTTGCCGGGATTCTTATTGTGATTTCATATATTCCCTTGCCCTATTATTTGTAATTGTTATTTGGGTGAGGAAGAGTATTAAAGCACGAAGGGTGATGCCGTTTATTGTTTTGTGAGGAAAGAGTGTAAAGCACAAAGGGTGATGCCGTGTATGATTTTTGAGGAAAGAGTGTAAAGCACGAAGGATGATGCCGTGTACATTATTATTATATGATTTCTTTGGTGAGGATGAGAGTAAAAGCACGAAGGGTGATGCTGTGCATTTATTGATTCTGATTCCTTGATGATATTCGAGTTATATTGTTTCTTTCGTTTATTTGTTGTATTTATATTCGGAATTGATATCTTCCCCCGCAGCATGCTACCCCTCCCATACTTGACTGTTTATTTATGTATTTCTTTTCTGTTGTATATATATTTGAATTGCATAGGTTTATTTGATAGTTTGGTCCTAGCCTCGTCACTAATTTGCCGAGGTTAGGCTAGGCACTTACCAGCACATGGGGTCGGTTGTGCTGATACTACACTCTGCACTATGTGCAGATCCCGGAGAAGCTCTTGGACCGTAGTTCAGAGGCTACCTTCAGGCCACATGGAGATCCAAGGTAGACCTGCAGATGTCCGTAGGCCCTGACGTCTCCCTCTATCCCTTATTCCCTGTTTCATTTTCCTTAATTCATAAATAGTGTATTGATATTTTATTCAGACTTTGTATGTAGTAAAGCTTAGACCGTCTGTGACACCAGGTTTTGGGTGATTAAGGTTTAAGCAGTTGTAATAGATACAAAGTTCAGATATTTTATTGTTTTCTTCCGCTTAAAATTAAATTTTCGCTATTTATACGTTATCGCTTTATGTTTGTTAAAAAAAAATGGATAATGAATTAATTAGTTTAAAGGATTGGCTTGCCTAGCTCATATTAGTAGGCTCCATCATGACTCCCGAGGATGGAAAGTCCGGATCGTGACAGAAAGGCTATCACTGCTGGTTCATCCTCCATTTCGACTTTTGTTTTTGGTTTCGTCCTTGGTGCGACAGGTGTGTGTGTGTGTATATANTATAACCTGATTCCTAGGAAACTACTAATTTACTAGGTATATGCAAAATGAATCCATAGTGACCATTATTTTTAGAAAACCTTTTTTGGTGGGGTTACCCTTTCCTTTCCTTTATCGGAGGAAATATTATGTAGCACGACATATGGATATGGTTCTAACTGGATAAAGACTAAAAGTATTTAGCATAGTACTAATTGCACTTTCTCCTAATATTATTGTTGTTGCAAATTTAGCTAGTCAATTGGATATGTGAGACTTCTCTTGTTGAATTTTGATTCCGCTATATACTAGTAGATATGCTTTTGAATGTAATTAATCTAATTTTTGTTGTGAAATTTAATATTTATAGAGTCATTTATAGTTAAAATGTTGAAGGTCTTACAATTATTCAAAGTAGGAACCTTTAGAAGAATATCTCAATAGTTTTTTCTGTTGATGTAGATGGAATTTGAACATTGTAGATGAATGTATAATAGGACGCATCCCAATCGTGCGGGATTGAGGGAGGAATTTATAGAAGGAGTTGCGGGGTTTATTGCTAAGGCGAAATCGCTAAATGATTTTATTATTGAAGGGACAATTAGGTGCCCTCGTGTTAATTGCAAGTGTGTCAAGTTATTGAGACAAGATGTAGTTGAAATTCATCTTTACAAGAATGGATTTATAGAAAATTATTATGTGTGGAATGTTCATGGAGAGAATCATGATTTTCATAATTCTTTTGGTGGTGAGGGTAGTCCTAGAGTAGAGAATAATTTTGAAAATTCTCGATTCAGTGTAATGATGAGAGATGCTTTTGAGATGTTCCCAAGGGCTCGATCTGAACCAAATGATGAGGCTAAGTGCTTTTATGAACAACTAGAGGAAGCTAGTCGTCCATTGTATGAAGGCTCAATGCATTCCAATCTGTCTGTTGCAGTTAGACTACTAACTATCAAATCTGATAGTTCTATTTCTCAAACGGGCATGGATTCTATAATTGGGCCTATGAATGAACTAAATCCGAATAAAATTGACTTACCCAAAGATTTCTATACTGCAAAGAAGTTGGTGTCCAAGTTAGGGCTTTCATCAAAGAGGATTGACTGTTGTGAGAAAGGATGCACGTTATTTTATAAGGATGATGCGGCGTTAGAAAGTTGTAAGTTTTGTAACCAACCTCGTTATAAGAAGGTTACAAATGCTAATAAGAAGAAGGTTCCAGTGAAGGCGATGCATTACTTACCCCTTATACCAAGGTTAAAGAGGTTGTATGCATCAATGAGCTCTGCTCCTCATATGAGATGACACTATAAACATAGAAGTCCAACCGGTGTTCTATGTCACCCGTCAGATGGAGAAGCATGGAAGCATTTTGATAGGGTGTTCCCGGACTTTGCAAGTGAACCAAGAAATATTAGGTTGGGATTATATGCTGATGGATTCACTCCATTTGTAGTCTCTGCCGCACCATATTCATGTTGGACAGTGTTTGTTACGCAGTATAATCTTCCTCCAGAGTTTTGTATGACAAGTCCATATTTGTTCCTAACTTACATTATTCCAGGTCCACGCAATCCAAAAAGTTTGATTGATGTATACATGCAACCATTGATTGATGAGTTAAAGTTATTGTGCCATCAAGGTGTGGAAACTTATGATATATCAACTAAACAGAACTTCAAATTGCGTGCTGCTTTAATGTGGACTATAAATGATTTTCCTGCTTATGGAATGCTATCCGGGTGGTCGACTGCTGAAAATTTAGCCTGCCTGACTTGCATGGAAGACACAAAAGCGTTCACTTTGAAACATGGAGGTAAGAACACATGGTTTGACTGTCACCGTCATTTCTTGCCAATGGATCATGAATTTATGAGAAACACTAGTGCATTTATGAAAAATCAAACTGATTATGAAGAGCAACCTTCAGTCTTGTCGCCAGAAGAAATTTGGAACAGAGTTAGGGATCTACCTAAGGTAGCAGAGTCTCCAATGCCTAATAAGATACTTGGTTATGGTGTTACCCATAACTGGACTAAACACAACATATTTTGGGAGTTACCTTATTGGAAGCATAATTTTCTAAGGCATAATCTTGACGTCATGCATACTGAGAAGAACTTTTTTGATAACTTGTTTAATACTGTGATGGATGTCAATAACAAGACAAAAGATAACTTGAAGGTCAGGATGGACTTGAAGGAATATTGTAGGCGAAGTGAGTTGTACCTTACATACTTGAACAACAAGATTCAGAAGCCCAAGGCCACTTACACATTCACTTTGGATGAGAGAAATGAGATTTGTCAGTGGGTTAAGAATTTGAGTATGCCAGATGGATACGCGTCAAACTTATCTAGGTGTGTTAACATGAAAGAAGGGAAGTTGATGTCAATGAAAAACCATGCTTGTCATATTTTCATGGAATAATTGATGCCTATTGCGTTCAGTGCTTTGCCTGATAGAATATGGAAGCCTATCACAGAGATAAGCTTATTTTTAAGGAGTTGTGTTCTAGCACATTGAGGATGGAGAATCTAACTTACATGGAGAGTAATACTCGCTTAACTTTAAATAAGTTGGCGAAAATGTTTCCTCTTGGTTTCTTCAATGTAATGGAGCATCTTCCAATTCACCTTGCGCAAGAGGCACAACTTGGAGGGCCAGTTCAGTATAGATGGATATATCCCTTTGAGAGGTAATAAATAATTTTTAATCATTTGCCCTTTATTTATTTTAATTAAATATTGTTCCGTCTAAGAAATTGTAATATGCAGGATTATTGGCAAATGTAAGCGGACCATAAAAAATAGGTCGAGAATTGAGGGATCGATATGTGAGGCATATCTGGCTAAAGAAACTTCTTATTTTTGTTCATATTATTTTGAACATGATGTGCCATGTTTGAGAAATAGACCCAATCGACATGAAAATGGAGGAAGTAATGATCCTTCAGCACCACCATTTTCCATATTCAATCAACCAGGAAAAGGTGGTCCAAAAAGTAGTTCAAAGCGAATCTTGACTGAGAAGGAACTACAATCAGCTACAACACATGTACTATTGAATTGCCCCGAGGTCCAACCTTATTATAGGTAAATATATATTTATATTACCAAGTTCCATACAAAATTTATCCTTGTTTTAACTAATGAATATTATAATTGTGTCGGTCAGTTACTTTGTGGGTACATATGGGAAGAATGTTTTTTACCCTAGGTTTTCAAAGTGGTTTAGAGAATTTGTAAGTGTTACTGAATATAATAAATAGTTTTTATTCGTTGCAAATTAATTACATGTATTTTAAAATTCTAAATTTTCTCTAATTCTATATAGGTTCATAATCCAGCTAATGGCATAAGTGATCAATTTCTGCATGATATAGCTTGGGACCTGATTCTAGAGTCAGAAAGATGTCTAGGTATTGTGTTAATGGGTACAAGTTCCATACAGAAGAATGGTCTAAGGGCAAGAAAACCAATAATAGTGGGGTGTGGGTGAAAGATGAGGGGGATGTTGATTATTGTGGTGTGATTCAAGAGACAATGCCGGAAACAAGGCCCCGACTATACCTCAAAACCTGAAAATTTGTACAAAAGAAGAACTACAAACCCCTGGGAGAAATGGGGGCTCACTAAGACTGCAGTAAAGAGAGAAAGAGAGCACCACTATCTGCGATCGGCGCTATCTGCGATGGAACCACCTACATCCATTCAAATATGTAGCGCCCCCGACAAAAGGGACGTTAGTATTGTCGAATAGTACTAGCATGTAAGGTAAACACAATTCTTAATAGGATGAACAGTGAACAAATAGAATGCATTTATAACATCAACATGTACTTCACAGGGTTACAAGGAAACACCAAATAAGGACCACATCATTCCGATTCAATGTTTTCATCTCTTTAGGTTAGTAATCTTTAGTGCCAAGCGCCACAACCCATAATGCCACCATGTTTTACACGGAGTCCGGTCTCGGTCCGGCCGGCTTAGCCATCCCAAGTGAGACATATCCAAATCCACAACGATAATTAGAAATTCAATGTAAATGCCACCATGTGTACAACATGGCGTCCGATCTCGGCCCGATCGGCTAAGCCATATCACTTGGGAATCATTCAATTATCCCTTAGTTCACATTTCTATCCATTACGTGGCACAAATACACCATATTTATTAATTAATTCTTGGCACTTGGACACATTTTTATAAGTCAAGTCTTTCCCTTTATTTTTTTGTTCGTGCAAATAACTTCATCATCCATGGCGACAAGTGCTATCATATAAGGCATGCGCACATATGGAAAGGAAAGAAGAACACATGGAGAACATAATCACATTTTCAACTATCATGATTTCAGGGTAAACACTTAGAACAAATTTGGAACAAAATCTTTCAACCCAACACATTAAGGCAATTCATCGAGCATGATCAACTCAGAACTCATGCCAATTATTCGAACACCAAGAGTTCAACACTAAGAAGAAGAGGGTTAGCCATACATACTTCAATGGAGCTTTTCTTAAATTCTTACAATAATTCCGAAACTCTTAGCCACTTCGATCTATTTTATGAGAATTACAAGTTGAACCAAAAATTAGAGAGATAATCAAGATTCTAGCTCACTTGCACACATTTTCAAGCACTAAGTGTGCATTATGCTTTTAAGACCTTTTTGTGAAAGATTCTATCATCCTACACCCCATTTGTTACATTCTTAGATCACAATCTCCCCATCCCTTTTATCATACATGCATGCAAGATAATCAACCCTTATACCCATGAACCCATTTGTTAATTACTTATTTTAGTAAGAATTTAGAAATCAAAGTTTAGGGCACAAGTTCTTACCTCTTAGGATGAAGGCCTAGTAACTTTACTTGATAATCTTCAAAGACTTGGGCAAGGATTGAATAGAGACTTGGTGAGGATCACTTTCTCCCTCTAGAACTCTTTCTCTCACTCTAAATGTAGTAGAAAATGGCACGAGAGGGTCTAATGAGGTGTTTTAACGGAATGGGGTCGGGTTTTAAAAGTTAGAAAATAGGTGCCCCGACTCAATGTGCGGTCACATATGTGACCGCATAACTGATATGCGGCCCGCAAAAGTAGCCATCAATACTTGAATACTCTGCCCAGGTATGCGACCAATATGCAGTCCGCATACCTGTTCTGCGGTCGCATAATGCACTGGAGAACTGCCCTATGCAAAGATCCTAAGGAGGTTATGCAACGGTTATGCGACCCGCATATCGATTATGCAATCGCATAATTGACCATATAGTTCTCCTCAAATTAGCCAACATTCTGACTCACTCTACGGCAAATATGTGGCCCACATTACTATTATGCGGCCGCATAAACATGCTATTCTAAAAAATATTTTTCCTTAACTTTTTAATGCACAGATCAATCCAAAAGGTCCGGACCGCGGCGATCAAGCTCGCCACGAAGAATTTTATAAATTTCTAACACACATTCTTAACTTGGCACTATGAGATTTTAGGTTTTTGAATAAAAATTTCAGGGGGCCTTACATGATTGCATCCCGAACCGTTGTTCCTTCGATCTGCGGTGTATGGTTGATATCGTTCTCTATTTGACCTTGGCTCTCTGTCAATATCCCACGACTTTTTTAACTGCCAACCTGTTTGGATATACTGAACCGGATGGGGTTCCTAATTGGTCGTCTTCGACCTTGATCTTCGATTGATATCGATTGTGCACATCTGCCCAAGTTACAGCTGGATACTCGACCAGATTTTGCTTTAACTGTCGTGATGTTGTCAAACTCCGCTCGTTCAACCCCTGGGTGAAAGCTTGAATGACCCAATCATCTGTGACCGATGGCAACTCTATGCGTTCCATTTCAAATCGGGATACGAACTCCCTCAACATTTCGTTATCCCTTTTGTCTTATCTTGAAAACATTTGATTTTCTGGTTGCGACCTTTATGGCCCCGGCATGTGCCCTCGCAAAATAATCTACTAATATGGCAAATGAGTCAATGGAATTCAGCGGCAAGTTGTGATACCAAATCATTGCTCCCTTTGATAGAGTTTCCCCAAAATTTTTCAACAAAACGGACTCGATGCCATCGTCTTCTAAGTCATTTCCGTTTTTCCGCATGTGTACGAAGTGATATGTTCATTAGGATCGGTAGTCCCGTTTTATTTAGGTATATCTGGCATATGGAACTTCTTATGAATGGGCTTTGAAGACGCACTCTAAGGGAAAGGCTTCTGCACAAACTTTTTTGAATCCAAACCCTTTAAGATCGGGGGTGCCCCTGGTATCTGATCAACTCGGGAGTTGTATGTTTCCACTTTTTTATCATTATCTTTGATTTTCTTCTCTCCCGACCCAATTCTTTTGGCGAGCTCCTTGAGCATTTTCATATTTGTAGGATCAATCCCTGATCCATTACCATTCGACCACACTCGGAGTTCTATGTTGACTTTGAAACTGAGAAATAGCGGCCTGCTGAGCCTGTAGCATCTCGAATATTACTTGGAGACTAACTCCCCCGTCTCCTACGCCCTGTGTTCCTTAGCCACCAGATCGGCCTTCCCTGTGTACAGTCCCTTCGGAGTCCACGCCTAAGTCTGCATTCAAAGCAATGTAGGAACTGACGTTGACTAGATCGGCAACCGACACTCCCCAGGGTTAATTGGTGGCATCCGGCTCCTGGAGCAATTACATTGTCATTTTCTGCATGAAACCCGAGACCATCGTCACCATATACGGGTGCATTTTGTGAGTTTGACATGTTTTAACCTGAAAGCAAAAAATTCTTGACAAGAACAAGCATAAAATAATATGTGTTATCAGAATCAACAATGAACAATCACTATTATCCTTAGCCCCACGTTGGGCGCCAAACTGTTTACCTTAAAATCCGAGTAACAATTAAACTAATATTATGGTTTTAAAGATATGTGATTTAGTCCAATACTAGTTGATAAACAAGGAAGTAAATATATAAATTGAAGAATAAAATAGATCGACCAGTGTGCAAGCCAAATCTCGACCTCGAACTATGACAGTCTCGAGGTAGAATAGTGGGGATAACAAGATATAAAACAACTCTCATGAACAATAAGTAAGATAGCTAAAGAATAAAGTGCATGTATTTTCTTATCAGTCAAAAACGTATCTTACAAATGAATGGGCTCCCCTTTATATAATAGGAAAGTTCTAAACAAGATACACTTCTAATTACAGTAGAAAATCATATTTGACAACTGTCTAACCGCCAAGGACCAGTACATTCCAAAATTTACGTCGTGATCTTCGGGCCATTGCGAGTATCTCACTCTTTCAATTACTGAATCATATCGGTATTATCTCGTGGTATGCCTTCTTCCGACCTCAAAAAATGATATCGACCTCAACCTCGATATCGGAAAGGGGCCTCGACCCCGAGC